CGCTTAGATCGCCACTGGAAACGGCGTCTCCACTCTTCGCGAATCGGTTTCTTGCCTCCGAAACCAAACTTCTGATCCTTTCTTTGTCGCTTGTTTTGTGCGCGCGGTTCATTACGGTTACCTTTATTGGCTCCACCATGAGAATGAGATTTGCCCGCATCTTCTAGGGCGACATCGAAAAGATCTGGTTCTTCGGTCGGGGCGCCGTCACTCGCTTTGCGCTCTGCAAAGAAAGTTACATGTTAGGCAGACAACTTTTGCGATATAAAATTTCAATAATACTGATCGGACAGATGGTAGGGCTTACTTCTCTTCAAACTGTTGATCTTATCCAGCGTTTCCCTCTTCTCCTTCTGTCTCTGCTGTAACTTGGCGATCTGGACTTGTTTTCCGAACTTTTTAAGATCTCGCTGTCTTTTAGCTTCTGCGCTTGCCTTCTTCGCCGCCGCTTCGTCGTATAATTTCTTTTTCACCCTGTCCATATGCTCATCGGACTTGACCATTTCGGCAAAATAATCTGTCGGTCGTGAAAAAGGTACCCCTTCCTTCTTCAATTGATCTCTCGCGGATTTCGCGGCGGAAACGCAAGCCTTGTAGAAAGCCAATTCACGTGTAAGGTCATCATTGGGGTCTGGGACATCGATGGGCTCTGTTGATATGAGTGTGTTATGTTCTGAGAAAGGGGTTTGAGGCGTGATAAACAAGATGCGCTTAAGGGAAGAGAGGATGGCTGCGGAATTGTTGATCGTGAGGCGTTGGTGTGGTATTACATCGGTGGTGTCTTCCTCTGAAAGATCTGACAGGGGGATGTCCTCTTCATCCTCGTCCTCGCCTCCAACTTCATCCTGCTCTTTTTCGTGATCCGTCCACTGTTCATCTTCTGCGTGGTTTGCATCAGCGGGTTTTCCATCTTCTTTCTCTCTCGTGCCATTTTGCTTGATAGAGGTAAGATCCCTGGGACAGACAAAAGTTAACAATTAAAGCACAGCATCCATAGTCATCACACATACGGTTTCACTGATATCCTG